TCATATTATTGTATTTTGTGAATACTTTAAACTTTCCTTTCTTTCCTGGGTGATGAAGATTTCATTACAACATGCGCTGAATACAGTATTGCCAAAGAACGAAACAGAAAAGGGAAAAAAGAAACTAACAGACGGAAAACAGTAATGTGCTTCTAGCAACCAGGGTAGGCCTAATCGCATTTCCAGTATTATTTTCTATACCCTAGGACAAGGAAGATGTAGCTGGCAAGCAAGGCATAGGATTTATGACAGTCCTTCTAAAATAGCACTTCCTTAGGCCAGTACACTACACCTCCCATATCTAAAATGACATGAGGAGGCCAAAGGTAAGAAACAGTCACTCCAAACACACCTATCCTCTAACCTTCTAGATGAAGTATTTCACAGTGAAATCTGAACTCACCCTAAGCACTACTTCAGTCTTGAAAATACTTTATTCTTTATTTAAGATATCTATGTATCTATCTATCTATCTGATTTTTAATACAACATGTTCCTATTATAAAACTTGTTTTGTGGGGTATTATAGAATTAATACTGAGTAAGTAAACAGACCATTCACTCCTGAAGTGAAGGAAAATCTTCATCTTTTATGCATTAAACTCTCCTGATTTTCTTCCTCATCTTTTCTAGGCCACTCAAGGTTTTATAGACTAGATTTCTCACTTTCATTGAGAATGGCTGTAGTTTATTCGACATTTTGTCATACGGATGCTGATAACCCTGTCATTCTTTTTTAGTTTGACTAAATCTTTCTAGAGATGGATGCGTAACAGATTTATAATATGTTCAAAGAAAGTTTTTATCCTGCTCTGTATTTTTTAAAGAACATACTCTTCTATAATCATTTTTAAGTTCTGAGTTGTCTTTATTGAATGTTAAAAATGCTTTGTGCCAAAAACATGCAATACACATGCAAATTCAATTTACTAAAATGGTACTTGGATTGCTTTAACTGGTTTTACTCATCAAGACTAATTTATGGAGTTTTTTTAGCAAGTCAAAGCTTTTTTACGCCTGAACCATCTTTGTTTTTCTCCCTTGATACTATTCTGTTTAACAATGTGAAGCTGTCCCAGTACCTGCATCTTAAGCATACACAGCTCTGTCTACTGGCAGATAATACTTTTTTTCATCTTACACTGACAAAGAGATTATATCCTGGGTAACAGAATCTTCTGACAGTATTCAATTCCCCTATTTCTTAAACTTCTTAGCAATTCTTTTAGTGCATATCTTAGTAAGAAGTTTCCTCCTCATTTAATCTTATTTTTCAATTTTTAGGAAGTCTTTTGGAACACTGTGTCCAGAGTGGCACTCACAATGCAAAGGCAGATACAAATGTGCCAACAGTGTAAGTAAGGAGCTTACCCAATTTTAAACATTTATGGCCCCTAAACAGAATTTGTAAACTACAAATTTATAAACTACACTGTACAAGAATTAGGTTAATACAAATAAGATTGTGAAGTTACCTAGCATTTGCCAGTGAATGAATGAATGAATGAAAACAATCATACATAAGCGATGACCATTTGTTTTAGGATATTGGTGTAGTCATCTCATTACATCAAATTTTATAAATAAATGCATAAGACTGTTTCTTTACATGTTTTTATGCGTATTTTGCAACAATGTTTTTATAATACTACAGAAGGTAAAACAGCCACATCATGCTTTACAGAAATCTAGGCAGCTTAAAACCCCTCCAAAAAAGAAAAATATGTATGCTAGTTAAATACTTTCAGCACACACATTTTAACATCTACCAGTAAGTGCGATATATGTTTGTTTTAAGCACAAGGCTGTCTTGTGCATGAGAGTAAAAGAATTGATATAAAAATGGCAAACTACAATAACAGAAAAGATAAGGTAAACAGAAAATGGCTCCATGATTAATATATATTCAAATGTTGTTTAGCTCACTTTATTACTTACTTTGCCCAGTAATTCCCCCAGTGTGACATCTTCATGATTGAGAACCCATTTCTTATCCTATGAAAAGGAAAGAAGAATTTTCAGACTGCGCAAATATGTAAGATGCAGTTTTTATAAGACACATTTCAGTAGAAATGGAGTTAAAGATATATTATATTCAGAACACAAGCATTCAGAATCACAAGTATGCCAATAAGTTTTAAAGCTAAGCATTTATAATTCAAGAGGTTAGAAAATGTGCCATATAATCAAATACTGAGTTATACCACATAGAAAACTTTTAATATAAATTAAGTCCACAACATGACAGGATATATGTAGATAAGCACTAAGCAAATTTTCACATAAGCTCTGGAAATTATATCTAGCACCCTGTTTTCAACAATTCCCCAAGTGAAAATTGAATAAGAAAATTTCATTTTAGTATATGAAATACCTTATCGCTAGATCAAAAAACTTCCCACCTTCTTCTCCTCAGTGCACTTGAAAATGAACTGATTTTTCTACTTATGTACAACATACATATTTGAATCTCTTACATCTTTTCTGGTAGTTTGAAATATTACAGACAACTACTTGAAAAAAACAAATTCCAGTTAATGTATTTCAGCCAGCAGGACCTAGGCAGAGACTGTTCCCCTGTACTCAGCACCAGTGAGGCCACACCTCAGTTGTGTCCAGTTTTTGGCCCCTCTCTTCAAAAAGGATATTGAGGTGCTGTAGCATGTCCAGGGAAAGGCAACGTTAATGCAGAAGGTTCTGGAGTTTATGAGGAGCAGCAAGGAAAACAAATTCCAGTTAATGTATTTCAGCCAGCAGGACCTAGGCAGAGACTGTTCCCCTGTACTCAGCACCAGTGAGGCCACACCTCAGTTGTGTCCAGTTTTTGGCCCCTCTCTTCAAAAAGGATATTGAGGTGCTGTAGCATGTCCAGGGAAAGGCAACGTTAATGCAGAAGGTTCTGGAGTTGGAGCAGAGCAGCAAGGAAACTGAGGGTGTTTAGCCTGGAGAAGAGGAGACTCAGGGAGGATCTCATTGCTCCTTACAACTGCTTGAGCAGAGGAATGTAATGGTCTCTTTTGCCACGTCCCAAGTGAAGACAAGACGAAATGGCCTAAACTTGCACTGGGGAGGTTCAGATTAGATATTAGGGGAAAAAAATGTCACTGACAGAGTGGCTAGGCATTGGAATAAGTTGCCCAGGGAGGTGGTGGAGTCTCTGGAAGTGTTCAAGAGGCATCTGGATGTGGCACATGGGGATATGTTTCAGGAGTGATTGTGGCGGTGCTGGATTGATAGTTAGACTAGATCATCTTGAAGGTCTCTTCCAACCTTGCTCATTCTGTGTGATTCTACAATTCTGTAACAACAAGCTTAAGATCATAAAAGAAGGTGACCCTTTTTTTCTCCAATCTGAAAATTCTTCTTTCCTTTCAGATGGGGACTAAATCTTCTAATAAAATGTTCTCCAAATGCAGCACTGTGAATCAGCACTACTTCCTTTGGTCTATACAACCAGTTAAGCCTGCGGTCAACTCCAAAGGAAGGTGGAGGCCTCTATTAATTTATGTGTCCCACTTTTTGCATGGAAAAAAACATTCAGCAAGTAATCCAGAGATTTTTGGGTAACTGAAAGAATGAAAGGGGTACAGAAGAATTATGGTATACAGTGGACCTTGTATGGAAGACTACTTATGACAATACTCCACATATTTTGACAAACATTAATTCAGCAAACAAAAAAAGAGCAGGGATCATTGCTACTGAGATTTCTGTGCTTTTTTTTCTAAAGTATAATGCCACAAAATCACACAGATCATTGTTCTTCTAAGCTGTGCTCAGTGTACATTCTAGAGTTTCACTGCATGCCTCAAGTCACCCAAACTTCCAGCATGCAACCCCTCTCAGCCCCATCACATGAATGCCTGCAGGGGAGGGGAGGAAACTGGGAGACTTGAGACAAAGTTCTCAATAACCACCAATTTATTTTTCTCCTATCGACAAGATTATTGATTAAAATTACTGCCTCACTATCAAATATCATAAGTAATGCAATTCCTTCATCTCCTTGTTTTGACAGAGATATTTGCTGACTGGATGTCTCACTCAGAAGCTGTTACACTACAAATAGATATGGGGAGGAAACTGGGAGACTTGAGACAAAGTTCTCAATAACCACCAATTTATTTTTCTCCTATCGACAAGATTATTGATTAAAATTACTGCCTCACTATCAAATATCATAAGTAATGCAATTCCTTCATCTCCTTGTTTTGACAGAGATATTTGCTGACTGGATGTCTCACTCAGAAGCTGTTACACTACAAATAGATATGAAGTGTCCTGAAACTGTACACTTTCCTTTAACAGTAAAACTCAAGTTTAAGAAAACAATTTGCAAAGAAAGCTGTAAAGCAAAAAACCCCACAAAAATTAGTACTTGGAGGTATTAACATAATGGTTTTCAACACTGACATAAGTACTGTCAAAGCCAGAAAGGTACAGAATTAAAATGTAATGGATTTTTTACTGCTAAAGTCCCAGTATTCAGTACCTCAGGGAACAACATTTGAAAATATTGACAATATGGCATTTCAAAAACCTGTTTATGAAGAAAAAACCCTAATGATACTCTGTCAGCGGACTAATCAAAGAAAATGGCACCATAAACTGGAATCAAATGAGCTGCTGAAGGATTTGTTATCACTGTATCACTACATTAATCACTCCCTGTACATTTTATGAAAACCTTCAACCAATTATATCATCATAACTGATTTATTACATTGTCATGGTTCAGCCACACTTTCTACAATCCAAGAATTATTCAAAATCTGATCAGCTTTGTTTGCTATAAGCCCTGTTAAACTGCACCAAAGCATTTAATTCAGCATACAGTAAGAAAAAAAATCTAAGAGAAGAGACATCATACCAGTGTACAATGCTGGCACTAAAAAAGAAGCAAACCCAGTTTTCTAATTTGCAGTATGTTAGATATCCATTTAAATACTGGTTCCAAACAAAGTGTAACTAGTTCAGATAATTGGCCTTAATTAATAAACTGTAATATGAACAACACAGCAAGGTGGACAGTAACAAGGACAATAATTTTTATTGCAAGTATGTTGTCTCACTAATTCTATTGGAAGTGCACTGAGTTGAATATGTCATCGTCAATAATTTTGGATAGTTGTCAATAAATGTATGAATAAGGCACACAAATCAAAGGATGCATATTAGCATATCATAAAGTAATGTCTCTGATGATAAAGTTCACGATCTTTTCTAAGTGCTTAATTCTGATTGGGAATAGAATGTTAAGTATTTCTCTAGTTGTCAAATGCCATTATTCTACAGATGAATCATGTGTGCAAGCGATACTGAAAGTTAAAATAGAAATGTGACAGCAAAATGGGGCATAAAAAATATTTTTCAATGTAAGTATAGATCAACTGACTCTTTAATGCACATCAGTCCAAGTCACACAAATTTTCATTTCAATAGTTGCTTCTAAATCAAATGGACCAAATCCACCACATTTTTGTACCTAATGAAACTAATCTGAGCTACAGCAGACAGAATTCCCAAGACCATTAATGCCCATTGCAATTACCCACACAAGAAGCCTGTTTATGATGCAGCCCTTGCCTTGTGACACTATTACAAATCTCTCTTTATCTTATGCTTTTTCAGTTTTTCTACTGTTAATTTGGACCACAGAATATAAAAGTACTTTAGAGAAATTCAACTGCAGAAATGAGGACTTAAGCATACTTGTTTGTAATCTTAATGATTTACCTTATTTCCAAATGGAATTACTTAAGAAATCCACAAACTTTACCACATTTAACTTTATTTCTGTCCCTCTGTTTCTCCCAGGAGGAGAAACTGAATTACATGAATGTCATACTTCTTAGTCAAGCCCAGGAACTGACTTGGCTCAGCTCAAACATAGCTTCAGTCCTGGCTTGGGAGACAATCCTTTGTCAGACATAAGAAACTACTGGAAAAAGCACGTTTTTGAGATTCTTTATGGAACAATATCAGGGAAATGACAAGATACCTAAAGCACAGGAAGGAACTGCCTCAAGGCAGATACTTCTTGGGAGGGAAGTGAAAGACAAGCAAGAACCCTACTGAGACTGCCATAGTTAGTACACAGTTGTTCCCATTGCAGGCAAAGGGAAACCTTCTTCCCTGGCTGGGAAAGGCATTACTGCCTTCTGAAGCCATATCCTCCCCACCTATTCTGTTCAGTGGTGTTACTGTCCCCTGATTATTATTCCTTGTTGTTACTGAGCAGCAGAGCAACAGTGTGTAGTGATGCCTGGCTGCTCCCTGGTCTTATGCAGCCACAAGGGGACCCCCTGGCAGGCAGGACACTAGCCAGGACACTGGCCTCAGTGAGGGAGCAGGGCAGGTCAAGGCAACAGTCCCAAGTTCAGGTCTCCAAATCTGCAGTGTTAAAGCAGGTCTGGGGTCAAGCTGGGAAGTCAGCCTGTGCAATGAGGTCAGGGTGAAGGTCTGTCAGGGGAAGCAGTGCGAGACACATCCCCATGAATGGTGGACAGGATCGCAGTGACCAGGGTCATTCTAGAAGCCAGACAGAGGTAAGGGTCCAGGATCAGATGAAGCACAGGGGCACGTGGTCAGGCACAGGCAGGGCTGCAAGGCAACAGGAGCCAGGGCTGAGTAGCATGAGCCTCAGCCAAAAGTGGCTCCCATGAAACACTGTTCAGCTCTGCCTGGGACCTTCGCCCCAACCAAGGTGAAGCCCCCAGAGGAGGTCTGGAAGGAGCAGTCCCAGTCTGCATTCTTGTATGATGGTCCTGAGCCCTGGACAGGACTGGGAATGCTCTCAGAGCCCATAATGAGCTAGTTGTTTAGTAATAAGATGTTAGGAGTCCTACAATTGTGTTTTATCTCTGGAGGTATTGCTACATCAGTTGGCCAAACACTGAGAAACAATTTGTCAACTAAGTAGTTCACAAAGTGGAGAACTTGTTCAACCTTGACACTGCTACTCTTCCCCAATAGTAAGGTACTTGCTAACAGTC